CGCACTTGGCCGTTTTATCTCATACCGGTTAAACCTTGAGCAAGCAGGATCAACGCAAGTCATTTAATATCATTTTGGGTAATCTTCGTCATGCCGATTCCATAAGTATATAAGTTTTACTGTTTCTATAACTTTATAAGTTATTTTGAGCTGGTTCGGGCTGGTTGGTGTAATGGTAGCAATTTATGACTAATAATCAAAGGTTCGGTTCGATATGTCCAATATGTTTTCAATTAATTTATATTATGTTTTCTGTTACATGTCCGGAAATTAAGATATTAAAGAGGTGGTAGGAATATCGAAATACTGTTCACATCCACCCTCCACAGATGAAATGCCAAATGAAATACTGTCTATAGTTTACGCGAGTAGTACACATTTAAATAAAACACTTTAACGGTTTAAAACGCGATATATTAGTTAAACTTATTTGAAAATGATTTTTAACTTCGACCCGACGTTTCGGATGCTTTGCAGCAGCCGTGGTCACGGGGAGACTGCAAAGCATCCGAAACGTCGGGCCGAAGTTAAAAATCAATTTCAAATAAGTTTAACTAATATATCGCGTTTTAAACCGTTAAAGTGTTTTATTTAAATGCCAAATGAAGTTTAATCTTTTCGATTTTTGTTGCCGGATTTCCGAATATCCGAAGCTAAGTTTGTCTATCTATCATAAAAAAATGTACTTTCACAAGTTTCTTGTAGTAGCCTCCACTGTTAATTAACGTAACTTCTGAGTTTTAGATTATGCTCACATATCCGCTTATAATGATATGGACACATAAATGTGTCTGTCTCATTCCCGAAATAGTAAATGTAAGATCTTATTCTTTGCATTTATATACTTATTACAATTTCGAAGTAGAGTAAAAACAAGTGTTTCAGCATTTAAAGTTATCAAGGTGTACACAATGTTTAGTTGGCATTCGCGAAAATTCTGACTCCATTCACTGATGCAAAGTTCGTACGTAAATTCCCTGTTGGGAATCTCTTAAGCAAGCTACTTTACAAGTTTAAAGTAGGAACAGTTTGGGCTCATTTTACCGCAGATACGAAACTATCAGTGTGTGGTCGCTGGCTTGAGTCTTTGGAGGTTGTGCATACGGTTCTACGAGGTATATGACGTTCGCGTGTATAGATAAAGTCTTAAGTTTAACACGTCCATTTTAGCCAAGAAATAGGTTTTGTTTTAGTGTAGAGTACAATATGTGTATTATGTATTTATCTAACCGCCTTTGTAGTAAATGATATTGTCCAACAGTGCGGTTCGAATACCGGGAAAATACCGTTATAATATAATGATAGATAGGTTCCGTCGGACAGGACACAAAAGTCTGATTAATAGCCTGTAAATTAAACCAATCAGTAAAACGGACATAGAAATGTGTACGCCCCATGCCCCACGTGAGGAAACGGGATTTCACTATGCTTAACAAAATTCAACTTGTATAACAATCGTAAATTAATTTGAAACATGTTGGAACCCAGTCTGGATCACACCCACGACCCAGTCATTATTAGGCATAAATTTCTACCATTAGACCAACAAGCTCTTCTTATGTAAGTAAATGAAATTATATTTTAAAGAGTTTTAAGTATTTGATAGCTGATACTGAAGTTCAGTACATAAGAATTGTGCTCAGTTTCAATTGTTCAAAACATGTTCGTATAGTGATGTAACCTTAATTATTCAACATTATAATTATTTCACACGTGGACAAAACGACATAACACACCGTTCAAGTGAGTTAAAACGCTACTTGTATACTTACTTATTTCTTACAGTTACAATTTTAGCTATACCAAGCGTTAATTAGAATTATCGCGTAAGTATGTGCCTAGTGGAAGGAATTAAATGTTAAGCATTAGTGCAGACTATTAAAACAACGAATCCCACATAAATTATTCTGCAGGAAAACTACATTGAAAGGAAACTCTAAATTAAAACGCTGTGTAAGCGTTACACGGAGTTGCGCGACAATTATTCTCGCTTCGCACCCGTTTCTGGAGATAGCTATCGAACAAGTATTTACATAGGGTACATTACTTTCCAACAGAATCTATTGTACATTGTATTTTGTTATTTGTTGGGCCAAACTTATTTATAGAACATTGAAATATTCAAAGATATACAACATTAAAACTATAGTAAGTTATATTAAAAAATGACAAATATATATCGATGTTTTTAGGTTTTTCGTGAAAAAAGGCGGCATTATACTCGTAGTTTTTAAATTTAAAGCGTTTTACAGACAAGAGGCAACGCTTATTTATATGTTTATCAGTATAAATATTATTTATCCATAATAGTTATCATAACAGGTATGTGTCGTATATCCCCGTGTTTGTACATACGGATTCATCAATTTGTTAAATAATGTTGTTTTTTATTCTTTTATTATTGCAAGGTGTAAAATGCAGTAGTAAACATACAGTGTAGACGCGATGTAGAGCGCTATAACTCAAAATGTAAAGACAAGAAGTCCAGCGCTGAAATATCTCTCTCTTGTGCCAAAAACGCGTCCACGTTTAAAAAGGTCGTTGCATTTTGAAGACATTAAACACGAGTTTGCACTACATTGTTACCGCCAGCGCTTTTAGCTTTTAAAAACTCCGCGAATGTAATTCACGCGCAAAATAGCGGTTCTCAGTGCGGCCGCGATGCAATCGCGCTGTTGTTTTATATACCGTTAAACGTTGTTCTTCAACACAATGAGAGACTCTGAGCCGAGTTAAAATACGGCTTATGATTGTCGGAGCCGGCTAAATCTCATTCGCTTGTTTGTCGACCACTCGTGGGCCGGAGCGATCAAAAATAACCACCGCTCAGCGGTGCGCCGGAACCGAGCATTGTAGCGTTTAATGAGTAAAATGAAAAGGCCGTTTTTATCGCGGACTCTGTTTTAGCGGCTCTGTTTAATTAGTGCGATGAATGATCGCTTCTCTACTCTCAATAAAACGTTTGAGATATATTATTCTACGTAATTGAACGTCGTAAATGCATTGCCATAATGGCGGAAATCCCTGTTTTACAATCCCCGGGAAACGTAATAAATTGTTTTGGGCAGGGATCGGCTCGAACTGCTTGAAACGCAGACACGGAACAAACAGAAATCTGTCTGTTCCGTGTCTGCGTTGAAAAAGTGTGACTTAATTATAAATCTGTTAGTAGCTGTACCAGCGATTTCGTCTGCGTAGTATAGTTACTTTAAATGTTTTGTTCTAGCAAACCTCAACATAATCAATTAAAGCTGTTATTCATGACGTACGTCGCCTCCTGTCGTTCTTGTAAGTTAATCTTAGAAGATAGACAGATACTCCATGGTAAATTTTTAATATTATTTAGGGAGGAATTATTCTTTGCTACATTTTTTTGGGCGTCTTGAACCTTTTCGAAGCGCATGCAATGGAAACCCTCAACGTGATTTGTTTTTTTTTATATTTCCCACTATTTTCTTTGCTCCTATTGGTCACAGCAACAAAAAATTCAATTTCAACCGGTAATTCCTGGTTCAAATTCTCCCTAATATTAGTATAAATGAGTATTATGATTATTTTAGACATGCATATCTATATTTAAAAACAAAATCAAACATTCATACATAACTCGCCAATAATACCAAAAGGCAAAAAAGGAAATTGAATACTTTTGGACTTCGTCGGATTATGTTTAATACCAAACCCTTAAAGCAATTCCACAAAATCAGGACCACTACAGTTATAAAGACTTAATCATACATACATAACAGATAAACAGTTATGCAGCAGCCCTCACTACGGCCCGGGCTCAACCGCGAATTTGTCGACAAACTGCTGACAGAACAGTATATTTGTGTACTTACAGTGTACGCGACCATTTCGCTTTATTGTGCGCTCACTTACTTATGTATGCCGCTACGTGACTTGTTTGCTACGATAATACAATTTCCACAACGCACAGAAAATTTAATCGAAAATGAAATGTTTTTTATTACGCCCTGTGGGTAGAACTTAGTTCATAATGCCTAAGGGGTTCAAGTGTAAGATAACAGCATATAAAATAAGTGTCTACTACTATATAACAAATACCAATAATTTCCATTTATTGTCTGTAGTTTACGCGAGTAGTATACAAAAAGACTAACGCTTTAAAACGCGATATGTATATAGCGTAAAATAAGTTTGACTAATATAATATATCGCGTTTTATATCGGTAAAGTGTTTTATTTAAATAATGTTTATAGATAGACAACATTGATATATACAAGCTAGGCTTCATAGAAGGTAAAATGTCCCAACCCAGATGTAACATTATTAAGATGCACTGTCTCACTGTATTTTGGACATTTGGACAGGTTGAAACCGAAACGCTGTTTCACTGGCCAAACTCTGTTTCCATTTAATTACCAAATTTTACAGTCTACAGCCTTACATTTTAAAAAACAGACTGTGATTTACAAATAAGCTAATAGTTATACATTTCCACCACTAGAACAACGAGCCAATCTATGACTTTTCTTAAATATCGCTGTTAGATAATTAGAAAAATCTAGTAGCGAGATGCTAACAAGAAGTATTAAAATTCTTTATATGTATCATCTTACATTTACCTCATCGTTATTGTATTCTAATATTTCTTATTCAATGTATTATGCAAAAGGGGCATAGCTAAGGGCTCCATGGTTGCAGTTTAAACATTATAAATAATTGATTTGTTAAAATAGGAATAATTACATGGCAGTAGTTGTTTGAAGTTATTGTTTAATTGGAATTATTTATGTCTTAATTGTAACATAGCTTTCCTATGCTTTCTTAGCTTTTCCTAACAATACTTTGCTTACGATGGAATAATATGAATTTAGTATCACAAAATAAGATTTCATTTTCCTCACATATATATGCGTCTACAAAGCGATACAGCGCGTACACTTTACTGCGTTTGACGGCGTGTAAAGCTACAATGACAGCGCATTCGCCCTCTAAAATGAATAATTCAGATACGAAAGATTCCATGTAAAGTTTACTTAAACACGGGAGCCGACAACAGCGCTTGACAGATGCGCGCGCCCTGCGCGACTGAGCGAAAGAACGAATGACTGGCATCGTGAGGCTTCTGGGGCGTGAATGGTGAACGGTGAGCTGTTATTCTCACGTTACATTCTAAGGTGAGCATCTGTTATAAGTTGTCAGAGTGACAGATAAAACACGTAGTACCAAAAGGGAACAATAGTCAAACCTGACGACGACCAGATGTGTTATATATAAAAAAGTTATTATATTTGCTTTTTACGCACTTCTATTTATGTACTTAACGAAAAAGCTCGTATAATGCTCAGTTCCGAAGTTGACACATATATTATTAAACTTATTTATTGATTCTAACCTCAAAACTATTTTTGACGATATTAAACTTTTTTTTTTATGTTTTTGTATAGGGTAAGTAAATCAAGCCGTTTATAATTTGTTATTGGTCCGCGAAAAATTTTAGTCAGGTCCAGTGCCTATACAAATTTGGCTATTGTTCTTTGATACTGACTTGACAGAGCAAATAAACGTAATTAATAGTCGTCGTAGATATAGAAGTAGTAAAGATGTTTAATCGTAATTATTTAATATTTATGTAGCTATAATAGCGGTTTAATAGCTAAATGCTTACTTTTACAATATTTTTATATCGAATCGTTTAGCAGCTCGTTCATTGAATCATTACTTTTCTGCCTTTAAGATGACTTTAAGATAACGAACATGACGAAAATATTTCCATTTGTCTATCTGTGTCATTATATAAATAAGTATAATATTACTGTTCCCATTTCCCTTAAGTCAACAAAGCACGTCGACGGCCCTGTCTGTAGCTATCAATATGAATGAAGACGTATCGGTTAGCCGGCCGTACAAGCCACTTAGTCCAAGTGGTCAACTAGAGATGTAACTATGTACTATATAAACAAACAGGTACTACACGTTAACTCAAACAATATATAGTATTCAATATTAAACTGAAACGTTAAATAAGATAATATAATAAAATAAATAAGAATGTTTTCATTTTTATTTATTTATTTAAAATAAAGCTATATCTTATGTACCTATTACCTACCTATTTGTATGTATGCACAACGTTGATATGTATAGAGTGAAAACAACATTATACACACTAAAACACAACATGTAAACAAAATTATTCTTAATTTATCTACATAATAATCTATAAGGCAAATTAAATTTGTCTTAAGTTAATGCCACAATAGTTTTTATTCATTTTACGTAATTATGTATCTACTAGCTGACCTGCAAACATTCTTTTGCATTCATTGCAATTCATTGCATTCATTGCAATTTTTTAGAACATTTAAAGGAGAATAATAAAACAAGTTCTTGCAGGGCGCGCAACGGAGACACTCAAAAATTAATATTTTCCGTTTTTTATTTCACATTTCTTTAGTGTTTTGTTGGACCATTTGGTTGGACCATTATCGAGGAAGGCTTTACTACCTCGATAAATGGTCCAACCAACACAAAAATATTTTTTTAATTCGGACCAGTAGATACTAAGATTAGCGCGTACAAATAAACTGTTCAGCTTTCATAAGATAAATGAGGAAAATAGAAAAGTGTTTCGAATAAGAATGTCATACGTAAGTTTATATTTTAAATAGCTATCGTAATTTTCAATTTTATAGTGACACTATGTATCGTTAAATGGTATATTTATTGTAATTTAAACATCATTTTGCCGACGTGTGCTGCAGGAGAGTTGACTAATAATAAATAAGTGAAGGGGCTGGATGTCGATGCTGGTTCTCATGAAATTCTAATAACATTGCAGCGAGCGGGCCACGCGCTATCTCCAGCCCGACTAAATATTAATAAACCGACCCGGAGAGAGTTGCATATATTTTTTGAGTAGACGCTATTGTAAGAAGAGTTATTGTACACACACGTTACGTTACTTAACTTCAGGGCTCCTTCATTTGCCAAAACGTTCTATACAATACTAAAACCTACTTATTCTGGTTGTAGATTAAGCTTAGTAGTAACAACGCTTTAGAAAAGTATAATCGTATTTTTTTTTTTTTAATTACGACTCGGACTTAAACCGGCATCCACAGCATTTCGTACTGTTGTTATATATTTATATAATTATTAAGAGGTAAGTTATTGAAAATAAAAAATAGTTTGACCCACACTTTAGTTTCGGACAAAAATCTTCGTTTTGCGAAGCCTACTGTCGGAGGTATCTCCGACTTCCGGTAAAAAAAATCACATGATTATTCCCAGTTTAAAACAGTCTCCAACTCTATCAGATATTTAATATTATAAGTGGTATACCTAGAGTAAACTTAGTTGTCTTAGTGTATCATATAAACCTTTTTTAAACAAAATTGTTTTAAAAATAACATTAGAATGGCATTATTATTCTTCAAGCTCGATTTAAAATCGATTCTCCGTTTTGGCATTTTCCAAAAATCCACTCTAGATTGGACTCAGCCTAAGATTCTCTACTTAATATAAATAAATAAAGCTATATATAAGAAATAATGTTGAGGTCTTCATAATACAACGAAGTATTCGATAAGAGTATTGTCTGACAATAGAGCGGTGTATTGTCTGAACTAATATTGATTGTGCTAACTACATCTCAACGGTCCCACCCAAGGGCCCAACATGAACTATGTATAGGGATACAAGCTCTGGTTGCTATTTCGTCTGAATCTTTATTAAGTTAAAGCAAGTTTTCATATTACATAAGTCCTTGGGTATATTGGAAAAAAGTACGCTACTACTAGGTAATTGGAGGCTTTGCACTTTGTAGGGATGAGTGTGCAAGTTGTTCGTAAACTTGGAACAACTTTAAATGAAAACTTCAAGGTGTGTTACCGCACACCGTAAACAACTTCTTCCATCGCTTTAACTCAACTAATTATGATGTGTATATTCAAATAAAATATTAATAACTAGAAGTTAAGCACGAGCGCTTCTGAGTTTTAATATAGAATAGAGAATAGAATCGAATCGATAATTGAAACGGACACACCCACAAACTGAACTTTACAGTACGGTTGTAGCTTTTTTGTACGGTTGTAGTTTGTACCCTGAGACCTTACCCTTACATCAAAATATTTGATATCCTATTCCTTACATCCTCATCTCTCCCTCACAGCTTGAATGACGGAAAAGTCTTATAAGAGTATAAAAACAACACATTCTCCAAAGTTAGCGTTGCCCTACTTAGCAAAAAGAAACTTTTCATAATATTATAAGCGTTTAACAAAGGCATGCTTTTAGTAAGTTCATAGGCTAGGAGCTGATTAGGCTTCTATGCTCTAGAACTAATTAAGGTTTCCCAGGAAATTAACACGGGACTTCACCCACTCCACGCCACGTGAGATAATGCTATTCAACATTAAGGTGGCGGTCTATTTAGTCGTTTTAATAAGGTTAGTCTTTTAAACGATATGTTTTAAATTATCAATTTATGTACAATACACACTTTCAAAAACGATTAACAGCTGACAAAATAACACACTCTCACACACAGACACACCTGCGTCAGAGAACATCCTCTGGTAGATCTCGTCACAATCTGTGAAATAATTGTTTATTATAAACTTCATTAAATTAAATTTGAGGGGGTTTAAAGCGCGAAATTGTTTTTAAAATCTGCGGTAAAATAACGTAGTAGAGTTGATAAGATTATTTCAAGGTAGGCACATTTTTTCTACTAGGTATATTTTGGGGCCTTTGTACAAACGTATTCTCATGCTCCCTCAAAGTATCGTGGAGTGTTGGTGGTGTGTTTAGTGGTTCTGATCGGCTATACGATTTACCACACTCCCCACGTCACACTTGCCCGACGTGGGCGTGCATTAGGCATTCATGCCATCAGTAAAAAAAAAATATATATTTTGGGGTAATTTTATAACTAATTATCTCTGCTATCACTTTTAAAGTTTGACACACATTACCAATAAACCTTGTCTAAGTCTAAACACGTTTGTTAGTTGAGAGTATGTAATGGACAAATGCAAAATTGACGTATGGCGAGCTCTATGGCGAAATGGTAGCAATGTGCGGCTAATAATCAACGGGTCGTGGGTTGGAAACATATTGGACTACGTCTGGAAATCTGGATATTATATGGGTGGTAGGATTATTGAAACTCCGGGTCACGAACCACTGTCCACAGATAATAAAGCCGAGAAGTATAATCACGTTTTGGTTTTAGTCTGTGGATTTCTGAATCAACCAAAACAAAGTAAAAAAAGATACTTAAAAGAGCATTTATAAAGAATGCCTCTTTGCAACATTTGATCTATCATTTCGCACGAACAGTAATTTGGTCGCGGAATTCATATCGCGCGACATATCGGAATTTCATTTGTCACACATTCCGGAGCGCGCGATAACGCGGGCGCGTTTTAATGCGATGTGTATCACGATTAACGGCACGTTTGTTTAGGAAATATTCAGCTGTCGAGCGGAATCGACACTTTGCAATACTAACGTTGTGCGGGCTTTTAAAAATCGACGTAGTTTAATTAAATTTTGTAGAGGGTATTTTATGTTTTTAGACTGTAAGTCAGTTTCGAATGTTTTTTTATGATAAAGGAGGACAGGCAAGCACGGGATCTTGAAAACTATGGGAATTTAATGAGTAAACAATTGTTAAAATGTTCGGTCTTTTTCATAGTAGTTTTTTTATTTATTCGAACACAAAATCACATGAAATATTACGTTTCTTCTTCGTCGATAAACGTTATAAAGCATCTAAATAAAGTACAGATCTGATGAAGTGCTTGCCTCTGAACAAAATTGAAATGTAACCCAATACCCCGCAGGGGGTAATAAGTATTTTACTTGTATGGAGGAGATTTAATATTTCTCTTTTTTCAATATGATTGTGGACCATAGACAAACATGGGGATAAGCTGATGGTAGGTCAAATACCAGAGCTTTACGACATCTCCTTATCAGAAATTTACAGACTGAAACGCGAATAAACTTCACGGCTTTTTCATTGTGAACGGTAGTTCCTGACCCGGACGGAATTTCGATAGAATAATATAAGCCATTTTGTATCCAGATTACCAGAGATTCCAACATGTTTTAGAAAAATTATAAATTATATAGAAACACGTTGGAACCGTAGATAAGCCGTATATTGCTACCATAACACCAACGAGCCGGTCAAACCGCGACATACCTACACTGCAATTTATTTTCTTTCTTTGTTATGTCTGATGTAACTCTGCTTAAGACCTACATGTACGTAAACTTTTTATTGTTTTTTATCGTCAATAAGATGTGTATATCTTATGTTGAGAGATAACAAAGCGTTTGAATGGAGGTTTTGTTGGCTTTATAAGCATGATTTATGTCGGATGATATTCGATCAGTTTTAAATCAAATAGATCTTGTTTTCGAAAGGCGTATCTTCGGATTGGTAATAGCAAAGGGCAGAGGGGGCTATTGTCACGGAACGGTTTAACATATTTATTGTGTCGTGGCGTGCTCGGAATTAATTGGTTCGATCGCGCCTAAAACACCTATTTGTTGTAAATCCGAAGTCTACGGACAGTTACTATTATTATCGCTGTCGTTTATTGGCAATTAATTAAAGATATAAACATCACAAATGTCGCTTTTGTTCTGAGGCTGGTCTTAAAGATATAAGAATATCGTCGATGAAACAATAGTTCTGATACAAATCTATACTTTACTAACATAATAAAAAGTTGAAGAGTTGCAAATTGAAAAAAAAAATCCATTTGTATCAGCACTTTATAAAAAAATCCGTACAGGTCACGAACGACCGTCCAGAAAAAAATGGAAAAGCTGTGAAGTTTAATCGCATTTCGATTATAGTCTGTGGATTTCCGAATATCCAAAACCACAATAGATAGACAGCGCATCTTATTTAGATGTTATATCGCTAGGGTATTTTTGAGTTTGAGTTTGAAAAAACGCTATATACAGCCTGTCGTAGACAAGTTACATCACACACGACAGCACAGAAAAAAATAATTACAGTATAGGTACGTCATTGTTCTTTTTGTTATGTGGTTATTCACTTTTTTAGACTGCTGTTCTTTGACATATGTAAATTGCGTTTTTTTTATTTAAAAAATATTAACGTCAATGTGAATGTAATATAATCTGTGGTTACCCGCGTTTCCCATTCGTAAGCTCGCCGTATTTCTATAGTTAACGTGCCTCTATATCTTAAAGCTAACCCCAGCTTGGCTCAATGCTCAAATATTTTAACTTATCCTAGCTATGCCTTTGTTGCTCGGCTAAGTGGAAAATATGATAAACTAATACGACCTATAAAACGCACGCCTAGCATAAGAATAAGAAGAAAAATTATTACTCTGTTTTATTTTATCATTGTGCTTCTTAAGATAATTTATTAGTTATTTATGAATATACTATGGTCTTCAAATATAACATTTTATAGTTAAATATCTTTGTTCAAGCAGTAGTTTAGGTCGCTCCGCCAGCGAAATTGTATTATTATTTTGTAGTTCTTAATTGTAAGGTACTCGGTATCAATTGTGTTAAAATCATTACTATTTTCAAGAATTCATTAATTATAACATTTCAACTAGTAGAAATTAAAGTAAATATGAACTTTAATAATGTGTGTAGTTTACGCGAGTAGTACATATTTAAATAAAACACTTTAACGGTTTAAAACAAAATATATATTAGTTAAACTTATTTGAACATTATTAAAACGTTTCGGGAACGTTAAAGTGTTTTATTTAAACTTAACTTATTTAATTTACAGGATGTTAATAGAATATGTAAATGTTAAAGCCAAAATTAGAAATAGGTAGAGAATGGACCTATATAAAATAATTTAAAAACATGATAGCTTGTAAGCGGGTAGTGGGTCTCAATTCTCTATAATTTTCTTTTACTCCTCTAATTTTTAAATCAATTGGTTATCAAAAGAGCCTCACCGACGACGTGCAGTGTTACGAAGAAGGATCGTACAGGCTGCGTGGAGACCTGGCACTCGTACACTCCTGCGTCCCGCTGCTGGGCCCACTTGATCTGCAGAGTCCAGTCGTCTGTTTGTGGCGAATGCGTGGCCTGGAAGCGCTGGTCCGACGTGTAAGTATACCCGCCCACGGTCAGGATGTGTAGATCGCGGTGACGAATCCATGACACCTGAAAATAAATAATAACGTGGTGAGCCCAATAAATTTTTAGGTCAACGGAATCAACGGTTTAAAACAGCCGCAAAGTGTGGATCTGGGACCTTTTGCGCTTAACGCAATGCATTTAACTATTGTTCTACGGAGACAAAGATTGTAACTTTTATGATTTATTTATTTATATGATCGTAATTCGTAATGTAACAGCGTTCATTGGAGAATCTATCACGAGTTAATGAGGCAGAAGATAGCTTACTGAGCTTTAGAGGATATTGGTGACAAAGACGCGTTTTACACGCATTAACTTTCAATTAATTTTCATCTGTCGTTCGAAGTCAAAATAGGTCGACAGCGTACCTTGTTTAAATGTTTTATGGCTAGCTTATTTCACCTTCCATTAAGTAAACCTCATGCTTGTCTGTTCTTCTCTCCCATAATAAATATACAAACATTTAAAGACAATATTAGAAAAAGCATGATAAAGTGTATTAACAAGAATCTTAAATACTGTCTATAGTTTACGCGAGTAGTACACATTGAAATAAAACACTTTAAGTGTTTTATTTAAACATGAATTTTGTTTCAGTTTGAGTGATATAATTTGTTTGTAGCACAATAAAAAAATAATTCAATAAAATTTAGAAAATAACATAGCATGGATTGAATCCCCTGTAACTTTTAAAATAAACTTTTTTTAAATTCAATGTCTTTTTGTTGCAGTCTATCAGTTTTACTATAACAGTTAATTTTATGTGTAAGAATAATTTATTTTCTACAAATAATATATGTACATAATAATAACACGCACAGCTTAGCTTAAACGATGTTTCATTTCTATTTATAAAACAGTTTTAATGTTAAGCACTTAACATTGAAATACCAAGATATGTATGTCCCATTTAGCCTCAATTTGATATACAGCGTTCTAAATTCTATTGTCGTATACACCTCATCCATTACAAGTGATGCATGATCAGGAGCAGAATACATTACGTGTACAGCCGCAATGTATTGTGTGTAAGTACTGAGTGACGTGCTGGACACTATTACGCTACTGCTAAAATAGTAGCGTGCATTTGTCGTTTCTGTGATTCGTTCAGCTTTATTCGAACCCACAGCTGTTATATACCCATAAATTACCATGCTGGGTGAAATATTAGTTAGCAGGTTCGAACTTCGGTTTGAAAAGAAGAGAACAGAAGATAAAATCAGGTTACCATTCCACTGGACCAACAAATCTCTAACCTTGACAATTATGCTAAATATTATGGTATAATTATAGAGGTAAGTTATACCATTTGTGCTCAAAAAGTGAATGTACCTACAACGTATGTATGTATATACTACCTTTTCAAACGAGAATTATTAGAGAAAATAATTATTAACCTTACTTATGCTGTTTGAAAACATTAATATTTTTCACATGTTATTGCACATGAAGGCACTATATAATTTAAAAATCGAAAATAAATTGAAAAAATTTTCGACTCGGGCAGGACTTGAACCGGCATCGTCAGCTTTCCGTGCTGTTGCTCTACCAATTGAGCTACCGAGTCCTACACCTCATCGTCGAATTTTTTCAACTTATTGATACATGCACCTCTCGCGCAATGTAATTTCTACCTTAACACTTGCGTATTAAGGCTCAATGTCTTATGCTTTGCAGCTTAAGAAATCATTGAAGATGAAATTACAAAGTTATAACGTTTGAAAACATTAATATTTTTCACATGTTATTGCACATGAAGGCACTATATAATTTAAAAATCGAAAATAAATTGAAAAAATTTTCGACTCGGGCAGGACTTGAACCGGCATCGTCAGCTTTCCGTGCTGTTGCTCTACCAATTGAGCTACCGAGTCCTACACCTCATCGTCGAATTTTTTCAACTTATTGATACATGCACCTCTCGCGCAATGTAATTTCTACCTTAACACTTGCGTATTAAGGCTCAATGTCTTATGCTTTGCAGCTTAAGAAATCATTGAAGATGAAATTACAAAGTTATAACGTTTGAAAACATTAATATTTTTCACATGTTATTGCACATGAAGGCACTATATAATTTAAAAATCGAAAATAAATTGAAAAAATTTTCGACTCGGGCAGGACTTGAACCGGCATCGTCAGCTTTCCGTGCTGTTGCTCTACCAATTGAGCTACCGAGTCCTACACCTCATCGTCGAATTTTTTTTTTTTCAACTTATTGATACATGCACCTCTCGCGCAATGTAATTTCTACCTTAACACTTGCGTATTAAGGCTCAATGTCTTATGCTTTGCAGCTTAAGAAATCATTGAAGATGAAATTACAAAGTTATAACGTTTGAAAACATTAATATTTTTCACATGTTATTGCACATGAAGGCACTATATAATTTAAAAATCGAAAATAAATTGAAAAAATTTTCGACTCGGGCAGGACTTGAACCGGCATCGTCAGCTTTCCGTGCTGTTGCTCTACCAATTGAGCTACCGAGTCCTACACCTCATCGTCGAATTTTTTCAACTTATTGATACATGCACCTCTCGCGCAATGTAATTTCTACCTTAACACTTGCGTATTAAGGCTCAATGTCTTATGCTTTGCAGCTTAAGAAATCATTGAAGATGAAATTACAAAGTTATAACGTTTGAAAACATTAATATTTTTCACATGTTATTGCACATGAAGGCACTATATAATTTAAAAATCGAAAATAAATTGAAAAAATTTTCGACTCGGGCAGGACTTGAACCGGCATCGTCAGCTTTCCGTGCTGTTGCTCTACCAATTGAGCTACCGAGTCCTACACCTCATCGTCGAATTTTTTCAACTTATTGATACATGCACCTCTCGCGCAATGTTATAACTTTGTAATTTCATCTTCAATGATTTCTTAAGCTGCAAAGCATAAGACATTGAGCCTTAATACGCAAGTGTTAAGGTAGAAATTACATTGCGCGAGAGGTGCATGTATCAATAAGTTGAAAAAATTCGACGATGAGGTGTAGGACTCGGTAGCTCAATTGGTAGAGCAACAGCACGGAAAGCTGACGATGCCGGTTCAAGTCCTGCCCGAGTCGAAAATTTTTTCAATTTATTTTCGATTCTTACTTATGCTTTTAAACACTGTTAAGCTTAGAGAAGAATAGCTTAAAAGTTTTGTTGTTCTTATAACACAAATGGCTTAAGATTTAAAACTGTTAGTCACGTGAAGTAACTGATAATTTTGCTAAAACTTTTAATACCTTTATTCCATATTGTAACAGCAAATTAAGTGGTTTTCAATAGGTAATACAATTTTGTAATCGAGACAGATAATAAGACGAATGAGTTAGAAAATTAAGAATAATTAAAACTTGACAGTTGACTATTGAGATTTTTCATTTGACAATTGACTTGCTTACAGAGTATAGAAGGGCGTTAATAAATAAATATGTTTTTAACTTGACACTGGCACATAGTTAATTATTCTTGCCACCATGAAAAAAAAATACATATTACAGAGTTTGATTATGTCACAATTGCGTTGGTAGTGTACCGTTTTTCTTGCACTATATTTATTTGAATATAGTGTTCCAATTCTTTAGAATTCTCCCTTCTTCAACTCAATACCACAATGATAGTTAAAATTCCCTCAAAGAATTCCTAGATGCTATATATACGAGCGAATTCAGGTAGTTGCAGCATCCTGTAATACAATTTGTTTTGTTTCCCTCGGGACATAAAATTACTAGGTAGTTTTTAGTATTAATAGTGTTTCTACCTGTCTGCTCTAATGGCTTGGTGCCTGATGTTTATAAATGTTTTGCGGTTTCATTTACAATGCAATTTCATCAACACGATAGCGTGCTTACTTTGTCATATTGATGATAAAACGTTTTGTATTTTCACGTTACTTGCATACCTTTAAGAATAAATTAAAATTTTAATTCATGTTTTACTATGACTGATTATTTATAAGCTGCGCTGAATAAATAAGTATAATAATACTATATTTATTCAGCGCAGCTAGTAACAAAGCCTTTACAAACACAGTATTTTAGTTTTTAAAAAATATACAAGTCACAAGTCTACAAATTCACCATAATGTGTGCTAAGGAAAACAGGAGGTTATTAATAGTTATATAGTAAATTACACATAGACATAAAAAACTTTTACAGCATATTTGATAGTACATATTACATTTAGAAGGAACGTTGATAATTATAGGGGTACACTCCCGGCCTGCACGAGTGCAAACTGTTGTTCCAATTTGGAGAACAATGTGCACGGAACACGTATCTTCACGAACTCTGTAAGTTAGGCACAAACAAGACATTACCCACGGCGCGACCGATACACAATCGAGTATTATTGTTAGAAACTATTCCCATTGTACACCACAGTACAACTATCTTAGTTATTTAAGGGAAAATTTTCATTATAGAATCGGAATTTGCTTCTAATACCTGTCATAACTCGAGCTAACTATTTACAGTACATTCTCCTCTCTTGCGTCATTAGTATCCAATACATTGGATAGGCTTTTCAAAACCTTTAGAGGTTATTGAGACTTCAGCAAAAGTTATTACATACTAGCAGATCTAGACGTTGTTTTGTTGTTTGCAATGAATTGGTGATAATAATATAATGAAAAAATGTTACTGACCATAAAAACTGTTCTTGCGAGGTAATCGTACAAAATGACAACTTTCACGGCCATTGTTTAGATCGTTTAAAGTTTATTTAATTTCATTAATTTCGTTTCTATGACCGTTTACGCAGCGCACGCTACGTCAGCCCGGAAACGGAAGGCGACAAGTGTTTTAATCAACACAAAATATTTTTTTTTAAATTTGAACTCGTAGTTTTTGAGATGAGGACGTTTTAACAAACAAACAGCAGCTTTATAATATTAAAATTGATTATGGGATTTAAACTATTTTTCTTTTGACTAAACGACTCGCAGGTGTGAGCCATGTTTGTGCACACGGTTGTCCTTGGTGAGGTTGGGTGTTCATCATGCGCCAAAGGCAGCCCAAGCGCTAAAAGAAAGAACAACAAATTTAAAAAAAGATAATTAAAAAAAACAAAGGCTAAGTAAAATATGTAATAGTAACTTCACATTTTGTTGCTAAGCGGCCGCTGTCAATTCGGCGACAAGTATGCAGGTTCGCTTAAAATTCATGGCTCATCTCGCGATATTATTAAAGGATAACACCGACACGTACGATCTCCCTTCAAAGCTCCTGGCTCTGGCGCCCTACCTCCCGAGGGAACACCCCCGAATTATGATACGCAGTTTACAATTAACTCGTTACATGTCGCTCAACCTGGATTTCACTTTTTGGGAACCTATCTATAATATAGCTGTCCGGGCAATTTTTTTTATTACGACGATATTGATGACCATAAAAACGATTCTTGTATGTTAATCTTAAAAGATAGACATATAATACTGTCATAGATACGTTTTAGATTATGTAAAGAAGAATAATTATTTTATACATATTCTTTCGGTATCTTCAACCGTTTTCGTAGCGTACGCAGCGGATAAATGAATAATTTTCCCCTTTTTTATTCCCCTCTGTTTCCTATTGGTCGCTTTGTGATGTTTTATAGCCTTAATAGCCTTCCTAACTAGTAGTTCGAATTAAAAAAGATCCTAGATTAGCGCATTCGATCAAACAAACAAGCTCGTGAGTTCAGTCAGTATAGATATAATTTTGTGTCTGTGAGCGAACTCACATCGTTTCCTTTTTTAGTCATCTGACTTAAATAGGAAAAAGATTTCTTTTCCCTGAGTGGGCATGGTTCCTTTAATCGATTATGACTATTTATTTACATAGACTAATTATTGTTTCCCGGACATTTTTATTTTGTGGCCCTCGCGCTTAAAATAATCCTAGGTGTCGCGCTTAAAGGCACTGACGTTCCTAATACTGCATAGAGCTTTTAAGAAGTTTTATCTGACATGAAAAAAGCGTAACATTATTACAGCGTGTTGTCTTAAAAAATTCCATTATCAAGAAATATACGGAGAAAAGCTTACCCGGTATGGCACCGTTGTTGGTTAAGTGTAAAAGAGTGTAAGTAGACAGAGGGGGATGCCGCTATAGCTAAATGGGCTGTTTATATTCGTGCGATAAGATTTCCTCATACAGGTGTCTGGAATG